TCCGGTACATTATGGTTACATTCCAGGCTAGTTAAGTCACTATGGTAAAATCCTTGGCAGGATTCCTCCCCTCCCCCCCCCCGTGAGTTTATTCATGATGTTCATTATTACGGGTTGTAAAGAATATGAGAGTTTAATTTTTTATATTAAAAAAATGTCTTATGGAATGTATCACTTTCTTAGATCTTGTAGACATGCTGTGGAAACTATAACACAAAATATGAGTTACTTACAATAACTAATTTTAATCCCATCTGCTAAGTATGACAACATTAGCATTTCCACTTAATTAAAAACACCCTTAAAGCAGCAATGTTTTAATCACTCCATTTTATTTACTCTCCTCTGGTGTCACTTATAATTGTAACTTTTTATTTTTTTAATAATGAGGGGTTTTTTTCTTCCTCTGTGCATCACACAAAAAAGTGCTGTCGATAATTAGCAGTCTTCTGTTATTACTAGACTCAGGTGTCACAACTGTGTCTCATCCTCATTACAGTAAAAAATTTCACCTATCAGATTCATTATTGCCAGATAATGCAACTGAGAGACTTAGCAGGCCCTCCAGAAAAGTAATTCAGCCAAGCAAAATTATCAGCTAATTATATTTAGAATCAGAAGCCCAACAACTATTTGCAGATAAATTGTATGAATTGAAGGGAATAGATCTGAATATTAAGATTCATAGATTTAGCAGATGATTTCTTAATTGGAATATAAAGGTCATTTTAACAATGGGACTCTGTTGTTTCGCTGGGGATATTCAGGAATCAAAACTGAGGAATAGCTGCAGTTGCAAAGGTTTGAACTTAGCGCAGAAGAAGCTTGAAGTAGGTGTGGGCAATCTCTGGCCCTCCTGCTGCTCTTGGAACGCCAGCTTCCATCACACCCAGCCAGCAGGCCCAATGGTCAGGGATGTTGGCAGTTGAAGGCCAGCAATAGCTCACGGGCCACAGATTTCCTTATCCTGGGCAGAGAAACAAGTTAGGTCATTGCCACACTCCATAGATCTACTTCTGTACCTATGGGGCCCCTATCTGTATTATGTGCAAGCCAGGTTACTGAATGTGGGGTTACATAACTTCCCTCATAGCATATACGAGGGATCTGCATTTTGAGCCTGTTTCCAGGTGCAGATCGCCTTTCATTGGGCTGAACCTATATATTTTAAAAATGAATTTGGTTTTTTTAAAAAGCTGCATTTTGTGCTACCCATTGTGGCCCGTTCTTCCCGAACCCTCTCGGAGTATATTGGCATGACGTATTTATCTTTGCATCAGTATGTAAGGTCATTTTCAAATAAAAGGATTAATTCCAAATCCTACTTTTTTTTTATCTGTCAAATTACATAAATATTGAATCCTGGTTTTACTAATTTGTGAGACGGACAGAGTCCTTGAGAAGGACTCTTCCTACACAGTGTTTTAAAGGTGACTCTTTAAACTGCAGCTTGGCCTGATGTTCTCTTTCAGGGAAAGAGATCAATTTGAAAATCACTTGCTTTTACATAATTTCATGATCTGAGGTATATTGCTAAAATCTCCACAGTGCTTTTTTTTGGGGGGGGGGGAGGAGAACAGCAATGAAAGCTTCCTTTGAAAATCTCTGCTCTTTGACAGTTATGACCCAACAGTAATTTAATGATCAAAAATATAACCATCTTCTCGGCTTTTAGTAAGTATTTGCCTTTAAATAAGGAGTATGATCCACACGGATATGTGTGGAGACCTGCTTTGAAGGATTCCCAGTGATTCAATTAGGACCCTTGTTTCCAATTACACCATACATATTGCATGGTCATGTTCGCAGGCAGCGTCGAGGGTTGGTGCAGGAGGGAGCAGAAATGGGAAGTCTGGGTCTTCCTCTCATGTCCCCATTAAATCCTTCCCCCTCACTTGTTGCAAGGTAGCCATAATCCTAAATTTCTGCCCATTGCATTTGGTGATGTCATATTGGAAGTTGTTTGTCCTTAAGAGTTCGGTTGTGGTGTACATCTTGAATTCAAAAAGAAAGCCCTACCAGCTAAATTATAGTCAGTGGCAAATACTTTTTTTCTTTCTTAAAAAGTGAAAAAGAAAAATGCTGGGAAAACAAAGCACACATCAATAAAGTGAATATTGACATGGCCTTCCTCTTTCACAAAGGGGAGGCGAATACTGAAGTTAGAAAAGAAAAGACGGTCCTTCAGCATTTGGGTGCCAATTAAAATAATTTCAGAAAATAAACTGTTTTTTTAAAAAAGTGGTTTTCAATTTCACTGCAGAATTTCCGACCGACAGATTTCACAGCTTTATCTTTAAAGTTTACTGTATGTCCGATGATTGGCCGTTACGCGAGGGGGCAGGGGGGCAGAAAAGCTAAAGCAGTTGTAACTCAGTGCATAACTGCATGGAAAGATTAACAAAAATGCTTTGCTGCAACGCTCTAGCACTGTTTTTGCGTTTGCCTGCTGAAGCCATGGAGTCGCAAATTGTGTCTTAAGCGTGCCACTCTGCAAATCGCTTAATAAATAAATAAATAAAAACCCCACCACAAAGGAGTGCTTGGATAACGCATTTGTAAGTAAAGGTTAGGTTATAATTAGTAATTAAAGTATATAGGCATACACATATAGCTAATCTATTATGGGTTCAATCTATTATGCATTGCCAGACGGCCTTACGCAGTGTTTACAGACAGTCACTGAATTTATTCACATAAAGATCATGGCGGCGGCAAAGAGGTAGAAACCTACGCCATGCCAAGTGAGCACTTGAACTAGAGCTTTCTAGGCTGAAATTGTAACTCCACTAGCCAGTGTGGTGTAGTGGTTAAGAGCAGTAGACTCGTAATCTGGGGAACCGGGTTCGCGTCTCTGCTCCTCCACATGCAGCTGCTGGGTGAGCTTGGGCTAGTCACACTTCTCTGAAGTCTCTCAGCCCCACTCACCTCACAGAGTGTTTGTTGTGGGGGAGGAAGGGAAAGGAGAATGTTAGCCGCTTTGAGACTCCTTCGGGTAGTGATAAAGCGGGATATCACATCCAAACTCTTCTTCTACCTGGGAGAAATCTCGATTGAATTTGGCAGGGCTTAGGGTTACAGCTCAGTCAGTTTCCTGCTCACAGTAGAAGCAGGTAGCACCCAAACCACTTTTTAAAACATTCTCGGTGTTTAAACATGGGGAGTCCAGGAGGAGCAGGCCTGGCCCTATCATTAGGCAAAGCGAGAGCATCACCTCAGACAGCAGATGCCGAGGAGCTTGGAACAGAGTTGTGTGCATCACCCAGCCTGCCCTGAGCCTTCCAAGCTAAGCAGTTTTGCTTGGGTATGGTAAAGGATGCTTTCTATCTCCTGTGCTTTCAACCCGCAGTTGCGTTAGTGCGCATGGATCGCCGTGTCACTGGGCCACAACTACTGGCTGCATTCCAGTACATGGTTACATGCAATGATGTCTCAGGACTCAGCTATGACAGCTGCAAATAAAATGTTTTAAGTGTGCTTTAAGTGCAATATACAATGTGACACCAGATGGCGCTGGTGAGCCTTATGGAGAATTCAATGTATTTTTAAAAACACTTTTTTTTTTAAAAAAAAAAAAGCATTTTAGGAACGTTTTTTTATATGTGTGCAGATTCCACCTCAATGATTCTAAAGAAACGTAGATGTCTATAACCGGCTGCTGGATTGCACTGATGGTTCTTTCAAACCAGTTCCTTCATATTTGTGTTTGACAGCATTTTGGGAAAGAAAGAAAGAAAGAAAGAAAGAAAGAAAGAAAGAAAGAAAGAAAGAAAGAAAGAAAGAAAGAGTATTGTGGGTTCCCCACGTCCCCGCAGTCACAGTATGCTGATTATGAAAACGTGTTGAGCAGTATCTTTTCTTTTCTTTTTTTAAGGAGAGCTGTGTTTTCATTTATTCAGTGAACAAAACATATGCTTGCTGTTCTGTTCTATGTAATTCATGTGATCAATAAAATTATCTTTTAAAAAGAGCAACTTTGGCATTTAGGGAGATTACACTGATGTACAGGGAATACGATTGTTGCAGCCAACTTCTGTGCTGTTGGCCCAAAATACGCTTTGGGGCTCAATAATGTAATAATGGTACATAATCTGCATTGCCCTCCCTTTTTTTCTTCTTCCCCAGGATAGAAGCTGTGCACTGTGGCTGCTATCCACTCTGTCCCAAAGCTTTGGTCTATCCAGAAATATTTCCAGGTATTTTCCTACTTCTGCATTTTTTCTGCTGTGGTTTTAATTTATAATTAATTCTAAAACGCAAAGTTTGAGAATAAACTTAAGCAAGAGCAATTGTTTATTTGGCAAGCTACCATGTTAGCGCTGAGGAATTTTTTTAATGTGTTTTAATACATTAGACGAAGTTTATATTTACCATCTGTTCTTTCAAGATAACACAAAAGCAAGTTTTGAAATAGCATTCTTCATTGTTAGCATACACAGTCTATAGTGATAGATTTTATTTAAAAGGTCGCTTCGGAAGCGATAGCTTGCAGATTTTTATTTTTTTTTAAGATGACATACAGAGAGAAAAATTTAGGCCTGAAAAATCACACCAAATTATTTAAACAATTTAATACTTAATAATATGCAACCCTGCTACAGGATACACACTAATGTAGTACCAGTCCTTTGAAAAATCTCATCACTAAATGTCTCACATATGCATTGTGTTACATTAGAATAATGTATTTTAATCACCCAAAGGAAATGTCTAAACAGCACAACTACACAGTCTTATTTAGCATTAAACATCCTTGTGAGCTGAGGTAACCTTATAAAATCATGCTTAAATAATGTAAAACACGAGGCGGCACAGAGCAATATGCATTTTTAATTAGTAAAGTGACTAATATCGAGTGTGTGCTTTGAGGTTTTTGTTTCATTAAAAATGTATCTGTTTTTCCTGCAGCTGAATATCTGTATTCTACACCTGAACAGCTTTTTAAAAGGCTTCAGAATTTATGCAAGAGACCAGACCTTGTAAGGAAACATCTCTATAAGGTATTTATTCTGAATAGGTATTCCAAGGTATTGTTGTGTATTGAAGAGTACAGACCAAAAAGGGGGAAAAAAGAAAAAAGGCCCCCCTCCCCTTCCTTCTAAAAAGGAGAGAAAACCAGAAAACATTTAATTAACATCCTAATGTTTAAAGGAAACATGCTAGGGAGGGATATTAGTTGTTACACTAACAAGGATTAATTACACTAGATGCCAGTTGTATTAACCTAGGGTCTTATGAAATACGTGCGCTTAATGCATGCTACATGCTTTTTTTAATTTATTGTTTTCTAAAATGACTGTCCTCCATGTTTGAACCCAAGAGGCTTATAAAAATGAACCTGGATTAATTTAATTCATTAGTATAAAAGGAAAGTGGAAGAGGGATCCTACAATTATACTAATGAGGATAAGCTTACCTCCCTATCTTAATTTAATCTCCACTGGTGTGTTCAGGTGACTGACCAGGTGAGTACCACATCTCTTCTCCCTCTGTTTTAAGGCTGTTTTGTTACATTTCAAAGAAAACCCTTTACAACACCACTACGCAAAGAAGAGAATCACATGGCACGGTTCCTGCTCCAAAGAACAGTACCCGAATCCCCACTTTCTCTCTCTCCTGGAAACATCTAGCAAGGCCAAATGCATTGCACAAGGATGTCATAGCATTCTGAGTTTTCCCGCTCCCAAAAATGATAGCCAGTGAAGGGTAATAAGAGCAGGAATGCTCATCATGCAATTGTGACAGGCCACATGCTTCAAGTCACCAGATTTTGGGGTGTGGGGTGTGAGGAGAGAATCAGAAGAAGTGTGGATTGTGCAAAAAGGTGTAGGCTTAGGGAAAAGCCCTGGCTCAGTGGCGGAGTCCTGGTTCATGCCCTGGTATCTCCAGGTAGGGCTCTGTCTGATCCCATGAACAGGTGCTGCCAGTCAATGTAAGCCACACTGAACTAGACAACCATTTGGTGTGGCTCAGTATAGGCCAGCTTCCTATGTTACTCCAAAGTGAAGAGATGTACTGGAATTCAGTGTTGTGCTAAGTGGGGTATGTTTGTGGAGAACGAGGTTCACTTATACCATGGGACTCCCCCCTCTTCCCCCCAACCTCCCAAAGAAGATTTAGGGGAGTCAAGGAGGATAAAAGGGGGGTCAAGTCCTTTCGTGTAAGTGGTCCTCGTTCCATTTACAACAACTTAGTTGAATCCTGCCTTGTGGGCATCTGTTATTATTGGGGCTCCCAACCCTGAAATATTATTATGGACTCTTACTTTGTGGACCTTATGAACCTTACAAACTTTGCTTTGCGTTGACCCATTTCAATTTTCAACCTCAGCTGCTTCAACCTGTGATTTTCCTACTCTAATGTTTTTTGTTTTCAGTTGCCTTTGAAAACTGGGCAGAGGTGGCTGGAATTCCACAATTGTTTTGCATTGGTATTAGGGGAAAGGAGTCACTGCATTGACTCCTTGTGTCTGGATTATGTCTCAGAAGTGTTTGAGCGTAATTTGGGGTGCCAGTCTTAATGTCTAAATTTCAGAACGGCCCGAGTCCTGTAGAGGCTGCTTCCTTCCCCACGTCCAATCACAATTCTTGATATAGCCCTTTCTTAATAGTGGTGGCCAAGTTTGAATGACAAGGCCATGGAAAGCAGCATTCTTGGCAGCTGCACCGCAGATGAGAAATCTCATTCTCCAAAGTCTGCCGAAACCTGAGCATCTGCTGAGTGCAATATAAGGGCTTTTTAGTGTTGCTGTTTGGTAGGTTGATGTTAACCAACTGGAGAGAGCATCTGAATTTTCATGAGCCACCATGTCAATATTTTCTACTAATTCCATGTTTTTAAATGGACGTTGTTGCCTGGCTTCAGCCTTTGAAAGGGGTGGAAATAAATTTCAGCAAATATAGATGCAGTACACAGTGAGGTTCTCTTCCACATGCTTCATTATTCTAAGTGGATACTGTGCATGGTATTGGTCTAATGAGGCTGTCATTCATTTGGAAGGTGCCTGCATTGGAAAACTTCCCTATGGCTCACACCTTCCTATGTGCTTGCAAAGGTCCCATTCATTTCTGTGTGGTGTGGGCAGGAGAACTTCCCAGTGGCTTTCACAGCTTCCACTCATGCAGGAGAATGTCATGGCACACTATACCCTGAAAAAGCAGGTGGTACCCTCATTCCAGGATGTCAGTATCAAGTAACTGATATTTGTAACAATGCTAATAAATGCATTCCTGACAATACAACTGGAGGCACATTCCCAAATTATGTTGTCCGGGATAATGGAGTGATATAATGCCTGCTGGGACGCGGGTGGCGCTGTGGTCTAAACCACTGAGCCTAGGGCTTGCCGATCTTAAGGTCGGTGGTTTGAATCCCCGCGGCGGGGTGCGCTCCCGTCGTTCGGTCCCAGCGCCTGCCAACCTAGCAGTTTGAAAGCACCCCCGGGTGCAAGTAGATAAATAGGGACCGCTTACTAGCGGGAAGGTAAACAGTGTTCCGTGTGCTGCGCTGGCTCGCCAGATGCAGCTTGTCACGCTGGCCACGTGACCCGGAAGTGTCTCCGGACAGTGCTGGCCCCCAGCCTCTTAAGTGAGATGGGCACACAACCCCAGAGTCGGACACAACTGGCCCGTACGGGCAGGGGTACCTTTACCTTTTTATAATGCCTGCTCCCTACCCCAGAAGTATCCCTGCCTACGTTTTCTGTAATTCCTTTCCCAATGCAGCAAATCTATGCAAGAAAATTAGATGACTCCACTCTCTCCATCTGCAGTTTTCTCTTGTGACCTAAAAGTGGACATTTGCATAAGGACAGACCGAAAGAAAATGTTGTTTCTGCAGGAAATGGTTAAACTTCAAGGAAAAAAAAGAGGAGAGAACCAAAAATGCAATTTAACACCCAATTTCAAGCTCATTATCTTTCATTGTCTATTAACTTGGCAATGGTTCAGAAGGTAGCTCATAATAGTTTAAAATGCTGACTGAACACTTCCACTGCTCAGCATTACTTCTTGAGTCAATACTATTGCATAGCTACACACGGAGGCTTCAAAGAGAGAAAAACAATCCTTAAATTTTTACCTTGACATTCGCTCTTTCTTCGAGTTCAGCTAAATAGCTTTTGCTGCCATGCAAGGGCTTGCCCTTTTGTCGTGGCTGTGGTTCTGCGGCTTCAGTGCGCAAGAGAGACTGGGTGTGTGTGTGTTAAAATGAAACATGGGCAGGACCAATGTAGATGCTTGAAAGGGGGTAGGATTTCCAAAACGTAGCTCAGGAGTAAGAGATGTGCGTTATACAAGCCCTGCTCAGTAAAATGCTTCGTTTGCTTCAAGTGTCTCCTTCGGAGAACGTGCTCCTTGCTGAATTATTTATAAGTAGAGTTACCGCCACAGACACGGAGTAGTTTATCACATCACTTTGGGCAGCATGTTAATAACTCCAGCTGAATGCAAGTTTTAATTGCTCGTTGTGCAGTGGCAGTGGTGAATGGTGCTGGATAGGGCAAGGAGAATACTGTCAGAAGGGTCAACTTTAACCCCTGACTAAGAGCTTAGCTATGGGAAAGAAATGTACTCGCTTCTTGAACTCTGTTAATGCGGGATCATACTGTAGGAGGTGTATAGATTTGTTCCTTGTGTTCTTTGCCATTCCAGTGTCTTTTATCATACCTAAGGCTACCAATTGTTTGTCTCATTCTTGGTCATTTTTTAAAAGTAACCAAGAAATGAAACTCTTGTGGGACTATGATGGTAAGTTGTCCCCTATGCAGATACTTTTGTTTATCCGTTAGCTTGTTTTACAGTGTTAATTGTAACAGGTGCACTTAACAAGAACACAAGAGCCCTCTTCAGGCGTTACAATTAAAAGTGTGCCCCACTGCTGTTCTTATCACCCACTGCAAGTTGGGAGGCAACCTTCTGAAGTGGAGAATCTCCTATATAGTCGTACCTTGGTTCTCAAACGGAATCCGTTCCGGAAGTCCATTTGACTTCCAAAACGATCAGAAACCAAGGCACGGCTTCCGATTGGAAGCTCCAGCAGCCAATCGGAAGCCGCGGAAGCTGTGTCAGATATTTGGCTTCCAAAAATAGTTTGCAAACTGTAAGATTCACTTGTGGGTTTGCGGCGTTGGGGAGCCAAAACGTTCAAGAACTAAACTGTTCAAAAACCAAGGTACGACGGTATTTGTTGAGGCTTCCTGTGCATTTTAGCCTCTTAATTTTTCAGGATTCTAAAATATGCAGGAAGCCTCCAGAACATGGAAGACACCCGCCCCCCCACTGCAGAAGATGGATGGAAATGGCAATAGGAGAGCATCTCTTGTGGTTGTTCAATTTCCGACGGCAACCTCTGAAGCAGGCTAAGGTGCCTTTGCATTCCGTAAACGGCAACAATCCCAAATGCTTGGATTTAAAGAAGTGACTGGAACTCTGCTTGAACAGTGTGGGTCTTTGTCTCTTCCTCCACTGCACCCCCCCCCCCCACCTGAGATTGGGGAGATCCTCAGAGATAGCATAGGATAGGGAAACTGGCAGAATTGCAAGGGAGGGCTGCTTTGCATAAGCAGAAGTGATCTCCTGCTTGTGCGAAACAAGCCATATATCATAATAATGTTATGAGTTTTGTAAGGATTGGGATGAATGCCTAAGCCCCCTTAGAATTCTTAGAATAGCCGGGCTAACTTTGTGGTGAGGTGATAGCAGAGGTGGTGGACCGTTAAGCTGAACAAAGGAGGGGGCCTCTGTGTGAGATGGCAAATGGGTGAGCCCTCTCCCTCAACTCACGGGCAGTTAGAAGGACAAAGGCAGAATTGAGAACGAAGATGTCAGCAAGAAGCTATTAGTATAAAAGTGGCAGGCTGGGAAGCCAAAGAGCCAGAGTGATGTTTGATGTCTATTTGAATCCAAGGCTGCAGCTACAGCTCCCATCATCCCTGAGAATTGGCCATGCTGGCTGAGGCTGCTGGGAGATGGAGTCCCCCAACATTTGGAGGGCCACAAGT